CTGGGGCCACTTCTCTCAGAACACGCGTGGTGGGGAGTGAGGAATGAGGGGGAAGCCTCCAGCCTCTGACGTCCCCAGGCGTGGCCTCCCCTGGCATGTGTCCTGGTACCCTCAGCTGTGGCTCCAGCTCCCCACCCCGGGGGGCCAGCCTGCTCCCAACAGGGGACTGCTGAAGACAGCAGGCCACACCCATAGCACCCTCAGATCTCCCCCTGCGGAGTGCCACTCCTCACCCCTACCCCCCTTAACTGTTGTATTTATCCCAGACGAGTGGCTCACAACAGTGGGAACTGGTCCTCCCCCAACCTGGAGGCCAGAAGTCTAAAACCCAGGTGTGGGCAGGGCCAAGCTCCCTCCAGAGGCACTGGGGGAGGCTCCTTCCTGTTCCTCCAGCTGCTGGGGCTCCAGGCATCCCCAGCTGTGTCTGGGTCCCCTCAGCATGGCCTCTGTGGTCACGTAGCCCCTCCTCCGTGCGTCTGTGTGTCTGCGCGTTTAATGCCGCCTTCCCCTAACTGGGTAATTTCCCAGTGTCCACTCCCATCACCTGCGGCATGAAAGACGGCATGACGGGGGAGGTCCTGTGCTTGATGTCAGCATGGAGCATGAGGTCACGGGGAGACAGAACTGTCCCGACCGTGCTCTGAAACCCGCGTGGACTTCCACGCCATGAGCTACTCGTGAGCAGGTTGGGCTCTGAGTCACTAAACAAAGAAACAGATCAGAAACGTGCCCAGAGGGTCAGGAAGAGAGGTGCCCACTGAGTGCATTTATTCAGCTTCCCAGAAAACGTGTAACAGTGGACCAGACGTCCCTCCAGGGTCAGACCGCCTTTGTCACGGGCCTGGCCTCCCGCCCGGGGCAGCTGCTTCATGAGAGCACGATTAGCACAGAGAGCACGCGGTCCCCGGCAGGGCGCCCAGCGCACTGGCTCGGATCATGCGCGACTGGGAGGAGGGGTCCTCCCCTGTCTACACCACGGAATGAGTGAGTGCGACGTGAGCTCCATGCCAAGTGCACGAGACGTGGGGCCTGAAGGGCGACAGTCTCGGCTTCAGAAAAGACACAGGTCACTTTGGTGAGCTCAGGGCTCCCCTGGGGGACGTGCAAGGCCAGGAACCATCGGGGGATTCACGGAGTGCAGAGCTTGGAGACACAGAACCATCGTGAGACAGAATTTGCAGGCGTCTGCGTGTGGGGCAGCCACACCCTGGGATTTAAAACTCAGTTCCTCGTTTTCTGCTATGGCCTCTCTCCGGCTCGTACGTCGAGTGCAGTGGTCAAGGACGATCACAGGGTCTGGCGGGAGCACGAGGCGAGGGAGGAGCCCCAGGAGGTAGGCTCCGTGGCAGGCGGGGCAGAGAACTGTGCCCACTGGAAGGCAGGCCACGCCACGGCCACTCTGCTCCCCTGCACCAGAGGACTCCACGCCACGGCCTCTGTCCTTCCCGCCCGCCTGCCCTCACGCTTCCCGCCTGCGTGAGCATCAGACGCTGGACCTCCGAAGGCCTCGCCGTCCATGTCCCCAGCTAAATGTTCCCCGCGCTTCTCTGCAGCTGGATGTCCGAGCGGCAGCTGCTGAACGCAGCCAGGACAAGAGAACCGCGACACACACCAGGGAGAAAGGCCGCCCCTCCCCATCTGCACACCGGGTGCTGGGAGCAAAGCTGGGGAACACCCCGGGAGCCCCTTTCGGGAGGGAGGGAGGGAGGATTCATCCGTCCCCCCGTGTGTCAGCCCGAGTCCTGCAGGGAACAGAGCAGGAGGACATGCGCATGTGCACGTGTGTACACAAAATTAAGAGATTATTTTAAGGAACTGGAGAGTGTGAATATGGAGGCTGGAAGTTCAGGGCTTGTAGGACAGGCCGGCAAGCTGGGAACTCAGGCAGGCTTTTGTGACATCTTGAGGACGAGTTTTATCTTCTCCGGGAAACCTGTTTGTTGTTCCCGTGAAGGCTTCCGGCCGATCAGAGGCCGCCCACGCACACGAAGGAGGGTTCATCTCCTTTACTGTAACTCCGCTGGCTGCAGACGTTAAGTTAACCACAGCAACAAAACACGGTCACAGCCACACCTGCACGAGGGTTTGATCGGACGGCTGGGGGCGCCTCGCCGAGAGCTCGCCCCGCACACCGGCCGCCGCGGCTGCCCCTGCTCTCCCTGGCTGCCCGCACTCCCCCCTCTCGCGGACCTTCTCCGTCTTCAGACTTCTTTCCATTCTGTTTTCAGAATCAAGATCCGTTTGGTTTTTTGCTTTGTTCCCTTAGACTAATGACCCAAAGCACAAAGGATCCCTGATGTTCCCTCCATGCCGGGACACAAGATACGCCACATGCGGAGGGAGGGGTCCCCTTCACCCCGGATGCCAGAGCGCCGGACTGGAGGTCAGGAGGCTGGAGACCACGGACGCGGCCGCTCACTTCATTTGCATTCCCATGCCTCCATCCCTGCAGAACTCCATTTTGCCTATAAATTAGGAATAAATATTCCTACCCCATCAGGTTGTTGAATATCAAATGAGAACATCCAGAAGAGCATTCGTGAGTTTTAAACTTCTGGGCAACAGGAAGGATTCGTCATCATCGCTGCCATCACCGCCACCATCACCATCGTCATCATCAACATCATCACTTCGTAGTGAATTTTCTCCCCACGAAATTCAATCCGTGGGATCTTAACCCCCAGTATGTCGGTATCTGGAGACAGGGCGTTTTGGGTGGTGATTAGGGTTAAGTGTGGTCGTAAGGGTGGGGCCCCACCAGACGGAACTGTTTCCACGAGGAGGGGATGAGACGGCAGGAAGCCCCCCACACGCGTGGAGGAAAGAAAGGCCAGTGACCGCTCGCCATCTGTTAGCCATGACGAGAGGCCTCATCGGAAGCTACATTTGTTGGCGCCTGGACCTTAGACTTCTAGCCTCCAAAACGTCAAGAAATAAATGTCTGTCGCTTACGCCGCACAGCCTGTGTTCTGCTGTGGCCGCTCGAGCTGACCAAGGCACCCATCGCCATCGGGATCACTGCCTAATACACAGTGTAGGAGCCTCTCCTCTTCCTTCTCCTTACAAAATCATCTCTCTTGGGATTCTCCAACACCCGCAGGCCCCAGGATTCCTAGAGGGCTTCTCAGAACCCAGAGCACAAAGCCCTGCCCTTGACTTTCTGACTCGGTTGGGCTGGGAGGCTGGGGTTGCATATCAGCATTTTCTCTCTGGTCCTGAAGTGTTGTTGATGCTGCTGCTCAGCGTTTGGGTGAAACCATTAAGCAAATGCTTGGCCACATGAACTCGTGAGATGGTCCCAGATTTCTTAGAACGGCAGCCGAGGAGCCCAAGCGTTTTGCACGGAGCCGTCTGACGCTCTTCATCAACGCGGCGAGCCAGCATTCCCGCACACTCGACAGGGAGGGACTCCTGTTCCGAATCGGGGAAGCGGGCACCGTGAATGGGGAGAGCCGGGCACAGCACAGGCGGGGATCCGCGGGCTGGATCCCATCTCCAGATCACTGCAGCACAGGAAGGCAGGAGACACGGGCGACGGAACCAGGCCCCCGCATCCGAGCAGGCGGGCAGGCTTGGACATCGCCTGTGACATGAGCACACCTCGCAGGCCACAAGGTCCCATCGTTCAGCCGCGCTGTGCGTCACTGCCTTCCAGAACCATCTGGGCGCTTGAGCAATGATCCCAATACAGACGGACAGTCTCGCGCTGGAGCGGGTGCGGCACCCCCGCTGGGAGCGTGAAGACCTCCCACAGAAGGGGGCCCCCGGCGAGGCGGTCACTGCCTGGGGTGATGGTTTAGCCGGGGCACCAACGGGGAAGGCCACCTATGTGCCGTCTATCCCGGGCACCCTGCGTGGCTGCTTCCATGGAGCGTCAAGTGGGGGCCACAGGGCATTGCCCCAGAGGGTCAGAAACGGCCCTTCTGTATGACCCAAGAGCTTCCCGTGGGTCAAAGGGCATTAGCTGTCCTTTTTAAGCAATTTCAACAATGTTTTCACTTAAAAATAAAAGAGGACCAAAGAAATGTATGATTTAGTGGCAAAAAAATACTTAAACCAAGACTACCATTGAGCCATAGCAAAGCCCGAAGGGGTAGACGTGGCCATAAAGAAGTAGCAGGCGCCTCTAATCACTGCTGGCCCAGGGGACATGTCCCTGGAGAGTAACCGCAGACTTTCCAGACCCATGAATAAACCAGAAAGTCATGACTATGAGCCATTTTGCTCTAACTGCCTGAAACTCATGAGATTCGAAACCACAGTCCAGGCCACCGTGACGGCGAACCAAAGAAACGTTGAACGGTGGTTATGAGACGTTTGGCCCGTTCTCAAGACATCGGACCCGTACTTGTTAGTAATGCCTCAGAAGCATATTAGGAAAACCATCCATGCATGTCAGCTCTAAATCAAAGACCCCTCTTGGCTCAAGAAGATGCAAAAATTACTTCCAAATAGAAATGACACTTGGATTCTCGGTCAAGTGGAAATACTGGACAGTCCGGAGGGTCAGAGAGCGTTGCCATAACTTTAACACATTAGCCAAAGAAATTCGTTTCTACCCTAAACCATGGGGTCACCTGCATCGAAATCAGATGAGCCCCGTGTCCCCATGATGGGACCCGGACTCTACCACAATTCAAATACAACTAGGACGGCGGCTTCGCACTGTACAGTGGGGCGCCGTGCCGACGCTGGGCTGGAGCTGCTCCCTGGCACTCGGGGACCGCAGGCTCCGTGTGGGTGCCAGGTGACCACAGGCTGCCTCCCAAGACAGAGTCATGAAGGCCTTTCCGGAGCCGCCTCCTCCAAGCTCCCACCAAGACGAAACGACATGGCAAACAGCAGACTGAGACGTGTCCACAGCTCCAGCGCGAAGAAGGGACGACGGTGCCACGGGCACAGGTGCCATCCCCAGCGAGCCAGGCCCCCCTCGCACCCAGCACCCAGTCCGTGCGGAACCCTGCAGCCCCGGGGGGTGCCGGCTCCGAGAGTCCCCTTACCTGGAATGGGGTCTGGCTGTTGTAGTTCTTCTGCTCTTTGTTCCCGCCCCGGAAGAGCAGCACTCGGGCACAGCTGTCCTGCGGACGGAAGAGAGAAACCTGTTTGCGGGTCAGGGCACAGACGGGCTCCACCAGACCGGCTCAGAGGCCCAGCGCCCAGGGAACTGGGGACGTGCCCATGTGAGGTCCCCAGGGGCACTTCTGGTCATCGGGGCGGCGAGGAGGAGGGCAAAGGGCCCTGCTCCCTACCGGGTGAGGTTTAACTCTCGCAAACTCTCTGGACGACCTGGCGGAATCCATGCGCACGTCTAACCCGGGCACCCGGCTCTGTAAGACCGTGGGCCACAGAACGATGTCTTGTGCTTGTGAGAAGATATACGATGGGAAATACCGGAAGGAAAACCCAACAAGAAAGAGAAAACCTGGAGGCAGCATTAATGTTCTGACAGGACAGGGGGAATGCATTCTAGAACATTCTTCGTCTAGAAGGCTGTAGGGAAAAACAAGGGAGATCCACAAAGCTGCAAAGAAATACAAGAACTTCCAAGCAGGAAACACAGACTTTCCAAGTAGAAAGTCTCAGAACAATAATAAAGCATAACTTCGCTTATGTTTAAAAGCCTCACGGGGGTGAGCAAGCAGCCGCTAAGGCCCCCAGCTGCCATTCCAAGCGGAAGTGGCCCGGCCACTTGGAACCAGGGCCCCAGAGCTCCGCAGGAACCCGCTTCTGCAAGCCCTTACTGTATAGCCCAGTGATGACGCCCGCCAGAAAGTCCCATCTGAAGCGCAAGAATAAATCCTCGCCAGGCGCCGCCACTCCTGCCCTCCCGGGTGGGTCCCAAGCCGGGGCCCTCCCCGCAGGGGAGGACGGTCTACACGGCCGGGACACGGTCCGTCACTCTCAGAATTACCAGACTCCACGTGCGATCACTTCCCAGAGCTGTCTCAAAATTAAAGGCGATGGTTTGCTTGGCTTGGTAACAATTATACCTTGTGTGGGCGCACATGCGTTTGCAAGTGTGTGTGTGTGTGTGTGTGTGCATGCACGTGTGCATGCAGAAGTGTGTATAGGTCCTTGTGTATAGGAATGTATGTACCCATGTGTGCGGGTGTGTGTGTAGCCCTGTGAGTATGTATGTTTGGGGGCGGGTGTGGGTAGGCATGTGTGGGCACACATGTGTGTAGGTGTGTATGTACACACTTGTGTATGCAGGCATGTGTGTATCCACATGTGTGGGGTGGGTGGGCGTGGGTGCACATGTATGCAGGGATGGGTGTACAGGTGTGCCTGCGCATGTGTCTGTGGGCGTGTGTGCAGGCACGTGTATGCAGGCATGTGTGTCTGCAGACGTGTGTGCAGGCATGTGTGCACACGTGTGTATGAGCGCAGGCATGTGTGCGCTGCCATCCAGCGTTCCCACTAGGAGGGGACAGGAGGCCCATTCTGCAGACGAGGCAGCGGAGCTCCAGAAAGATTACTTGGAAAACCACGGCTTCGGAAAGGGAGCACGAGACAACACTGTGACCCCAGAGCAGTGGCCACGGGAGCGCTGGCTGTGCCCGGTGTGGCTGCCAGCCACCGAGATGCTCCTGGAGAAGACTCGTCTGTGACACACCGAGCTGCGTCTCCAACCGCTTACACAAGCCAGTCGAGTATAGATGGAGAGATTCTGCACTTTCCGTTTTGAGAGCCAAAGCGTCAGGAAGAGTACCGTTCCCGCTGCCAATTATCTTCTTGGCAACATTTCCAGAGACGTTAAGAGAACTACCCCAGCCTCCCGCTCCACGAGGATCTCCAGGCTTGCCCCGGGCCCCAGCCAGGCGGCCATGCCACTGGGTCACCACCTCCTGCAGGAGCCCAGACGCACCACATTCACTGTACACGCGAAGACGTAGACCAGAAAGCACATTCATTCACGCACACGGCTAGTCGGTACGCAGCGAGAGCCAGGCCGGGTACCACTCTGGCCCCAGGGACGCCGAGCCAACATGTGCCAGAGAGTAAGGGCAGGTGGTCAGGGGAGCCCCCACTCCCCCAGGAGCGGGTCCAGAAGCCTGCCCAAGCCGGGTGACAACTAGAGGACGTGTTCCCAGCAGAGGGAACAGCCAGGGCCCTGGTGCAGGCTGCAGGCGGCAGGGGTGAGGCGGCAGGGGCCTGCGGAGCGGTGTGGGGGTGCTCCCATCTGCAGGGTGCAACGTCACTCTGGGGTCTGCAGAAGACGCATCAGAGAGAGGCAAGCCGGAGGGACGGCCAGTCAGGGGTGAGGGTAGCAGTGTGTGGCCCTGGAAAGGGCGGGAGGGGCAGGGGGAGCTGGGATCCCTGGGACGGAGGGACTGTGAGGAGCAGAACGGGAGCCTGGACTCCAGGAAGCTGCGGAGGGAAGGGGGCTACTCACAGGGTCTGGGGGAGCCTCCTACGTGGTTTCTACAAGGCCTGTTGGCCGGGCAGGGGCCCCACTGGCAAAGCTCAGAGCAGAGGTGTTTCCTAGAAGGTGCCAAGGCCACAGACAGACCTGCCTGAGGTCACCATGGGAGAGAATGTGGACTGTGGGGGTGGCTGGCTGCCCCAAGCAGGAGGGATGGAAGCCTGACGGGGTGACAGGTGGGGAAAGCTTGCGGAAGGCCCCAGGGGAGGTCAGCAGGGTTGGACACAAGCGAATGGGCAGACAGAGGAGGAGACAGGAGATGCGGGAGAACAGATGAGGGTTATGGGCGTGCCCTGAACAGCCCCATCACCGACAGAGCCCAGGTTTTCATGCTGGATGTCCATGTCCCACCCGGGGCTCTCATCTCCATGGCACGGAGGTGACGCCCCAACACGATTTACCAAATACTCCCAATTAGTTGGGATCTCGTTTCCAGTTTGCACTGTCCCGACACGCGCCTGTGTGGCAGATAGAAATCTACGGAGAGGTGACATACCGCCATCGGTGAAGAGGCAAGGCAGGGGCGGGAAGACGGACGTCACCGGAGCGGCCGGAAGCCGGCACATGGAGGAGCTGCCCCTGAAGGCCACACCCGACGGCACTCTGGACCACGGCGCCTGTGCCTAACCTGCGCCCATGGGAGCCCCGTCCCCACCCCAGCCAAGGGTCATGGAATGTGTCCCCACAGCCTCAGGGCAAAGACACAGGGCAGGCTGGAAGCCCAGCCTCCACCTCCTGACCCACAGGAGAGAATGTCAACCAACAGCAGCCACCGAAGGCTCCCCGGGGATCTACAGGGAAAGACCATGTGGACGCCCTCCTTCCACGAGACACACCCCCAAGTGCTCCCAAGGATGATGACCCCTGATCGCCCTGGGGAGGCAGCCCCCATGCTGACAGGTGCTCCACCGACACCAGAAGGGCCACAGCGACACAGCCTGTCTCTTCTTACCTTGGGCCTCACTGGAACCAGGAGAAGGGTTTGTTTCTCATCCTCCCCACAAACCGGCCAGGCCCACTAACCTTTGAGATGTAAGACTCCCTCCCCTCCTTCATTATCCAAGCCAGAAAAAAAACACCGGGCTGCCTCCCTCCCTCTGGGCCTCCAGAAAAGCCAGAGAGAGGATGAGGGGCCTGGCAGATTAAGACACAATTTGCTGCTTACAATCAAAGCCCTAATTAGCGGGTTTCATAAGAGAAGGGAATATTCTGGTCTGTGTATTTTATTAGAAATGTGCAGATGAGGCCTGCCTAAAACTAATAAAACACACACGCATCAAATCCATAAACCTGGCTGCTTTTAGATTTAACAAGGAGAGGTGTGGCAAGGTAAATTAGCAGAAGCAAGACCATCAGCACCAGCACCATCAGCACCGTCGTCATCACTGCCACCACCAACATCAGCACCATCAGTACCATCACCACCGCCATCATCACCACCATCACCACCAGCACCATGACCATCACCACCATCAGCACCAGCACCATCACTGCCATCACCAACATCAGCACCATCATCACCTCACCACCACCACCGCCATCATCATCACCATCACCACCTCCATCATCATCATCATCAACACCAACATGACCATCACTACCATCACCACCAACACCATCAGCACCAGCACCATCATCACCATCATCACTGCCATCAGCAATATCAGCACCATCAGTAACATCACCACCACCACCATCAACACCACCATGACCATCACCACCATCACCATCACCACCATCGTCACCATGACCATCACCACCAGCACCATCCTACCATCATCATCACCAGCACCACCATTATCACTACCACCATGACCACCATTACTGCTACCCTTTACCAAGCATGCACTGTGTGGCAGACACACCGTATGTTTGTTTTCTATTTTAAGCCTCTTAGCAACCCTGGCAGTTAGGTAGAATTATGCCTACAGTATAGATGGGAGAATTCACTGTCCCAGAGTTTGCCGCAGACAACACAGCAATGTCACGGTCTCAGCCATGTGGAGCCCGGACTGCCATGCATCCCTGCGCTGCAAGCCCACCTCCCTGCTGCTGTTCCTTCCCCCGAATCTTGTTCTGACTTCACCGCACTGCATCCCCACCCCTGGGGCAGTGCCTTTCTCACGAGGATCTCACAGAGTGCCCTGTATGTGTGCCTTCTGACAGCCCTTCCTCTGGAAGTTACAAAGGGATTCCTCCGGTCAGCGCGGAGCCTGGCCTGCTGCCGCCGCGTGACGCACACATGCACAAAAGAGGAGCTCCACCCATGGGTGACGTGGGAGGACAGGGCTCTGGCTAGGGACAATGGGCAGTGTGTGCTGGACGTGGAGAGGACAGGGCTCCCTGTGGCCTAGACCCCGACCTTACTGTGTTGTTCACCATGCTGCAGAGGACGGTCACACAGCCCAGAGAAGCAGCAGGCAGATCCCGGGACCCTGGAGAGAGGGGACAGCTCTGCCCTGCCTACCCGAGCTCGCTGGCACACGGGGAGCAAGTTGCCCAGCCGTGGAGTGGGGAGTCTGTCCCCACGTGTCCAGGATGGATGCAGACATGGCCTTCCCCACCCAATATGTATGTCCCGCAGCTTAACTCAGCTCGCTGCCTGCTTTACAGATACAGTCCTGTTGGCACACGGCCACTCTCACTCACCTCGGTGCTGTCTGTGGCTGAGCTCACGCTGCAACGGCAGAGCGGCGTGGCCCTGACAAGCCCACGTGGCCCACAAAGTCAAAAACAATACGCGTCCTTTACAGGAAATGTCTGCTCCGGGAAGAAAATACCGAGGAGGAAATACTGCACGGCACATGGGGGAGGGTGTTCCCGAAGCCGCCAGCCGAGGGCGGGGGACAGGACAGGCGACAGGCGCACCCTGCCCGTCACACCGGCCGTCACCAAGCCAGAATACGGACTACCGGGTGGTCTGAACCTTCCTTAACAAAATAATCCCACCAACGCTCACAAAGACCGTCTTGTCCACAATTATTTCAAGTGACAGGAAACATTCTTTCCTGGTTTTTTTTCTTTCATTCATGATAAATTATGCTTGAAATCTACTGGGGAAAATTAAGGAACGTTCCTCCCTCTAAGACAGCAATTAAGAAGCGCCTGTCGGCACAGATGTTTTTCCAGCCAAAGCCAAGTCTCACGATGCGTGTTTTCCGAATGAAGCCCAGCTAGGTCTCTCCAAGCTCAAAAAACCACCAAAATACAACCAAAACGCCATGCAGCTCCCACTGCCCCAGCTGCACACAAATCCCACCGATACACTCGCATTAAGGAGGAAGCCGGGAGCCCTGCTGAAACGCTCCCCCAACCCCCTCGGGCTGAGCGGCTCTGCTGTGCCAGCCCCAGAAGAGACCCTAAGAGATGGCAATCTAGGCCTCTGAGAAGCCAGGTCTGGGGGACAGGGTGCCCGCAGGGAAAACAGACACGGCCTAATGACGGCAGTTCGCCCTGGTTATCTTGCGAAGGGCTGCAGAGCTAACCATATAGCTAATGCTCTCGGGAGCTCATCCAGAGAAGGCTTGACTAAGGGTGGGATATCCGAGTTGGGTCTTGAAGGATGCACAGGAGTTTTCTATGGCAAAGAATTTACGGCAAAGAGGGTTTCATGGCTGGAAGGATCCAGTCTGGGAAGGGCCAGGGAAAGGACTCAGGTACAGACAAAGGCTGAAGATTTCACCCAAAAAGACAGCATCAGCGCTTTGTTCTGGGAAGAGGATGCCGACTGCAGAGAAGACAGGCAAAGTGCACATGGCTTGGGGACCCCCGGGAAGATCTCCCCTCTGTTCCTCCAGTTAGGGGAGCCCCCCACCTTCTGCTCAGCTGCTCAGTATAGTGTTCAGATCCCACCACCCTCCAGACTCCTTGAAATCAGAGAGACAAGAAGAAAAGAAAGTTGGAGCAGAGAACACCTTTGATATTGGCCTCTGGGAGTTATCTTGACCTGGAGCCTCAAGGACGCTGACCCTCCCTTCTCCCCGCCCCCGCCCCAAACGGATTCTGAAACCCACCACCTCCAGGGAGCCCCGGGCCCTTCCCACAGCCTCCATGAGCCTCCCCACCGTCCTCTGCCCCACCGCTGTGCCTCTTGGTGGGACCAGCAGGGTGCTCACGCCGTGCTCCCCAGCCATTGGGGATTCACACTCCTGGAGGCCGGGGCGGGGGGCGGGTGTCATATCCCACCCCTCAGGGCACACCAAACACGCTCATCTACAGATTGCCTTGGCACAAAAGGACAAATGCCACAGGAACCCACTCAGATGTGATCCCTAGATGGGGACAGAAGGTGGACAGCAGGGGCCAGGGGCTCGAGGGGGAAAGGAGTCCATGTTTCTCAGGACAGTGTCCACTGGGAAGATGGAAAGTCCTAGAAGGAAAGCACCGCTGGTCGCAAAGCAACACGAATGTGCTTCATGGCAGTGAACTACCTTGTGAAAGTGGTTAAAATCATTTGTGCTTCTGTCGTGTGTCACCGCAGCTAAGGGGAAAAGCCCGTTGGGAGCGTGTCTGCACACGCAATGGTGGCAATTTGCCTCTGCCGCACGCTGGTCCTGGGCAAGGCTGGCGAGGTGCCAGAACCCTCCCGGGGGCTCGTCGGCCACGCCCGTGCCCCTCTGCCCTGCACATCCCCGTACACACCCACTCTGGGGCAGACAGAGTTTACCTGTGCAGCGGGGGATGGCGGGAACGAGGGGACCCCCAGCTCCCCAGCTCGCTTCTGGGGGTGGACAGCGTGGTGGGGTGGCCCAGGAGGGGAGCAGACCAGGGTCTCCAGCCCAGCTCTGGCTCTGGGACGGCTCCCTTCTCTTCCCCGCGACTCGGCTTCCTCTCTGCTACAACAGGGTAACCATTCTCGAGGAAGCAGCTGAAGATGGCAGCTTGCTAGGGGCTGGAGGTGGCCCCCGAGATTCCCGTGGGAGGGCTGAACCCCCAAGGCAAGCGATTTTGGAAATGGGCCTTGAGGAGGGGTTGAGGGTCCAGTGAGGTCGTGAGGGTGGGGCCCTGACCTGACGGGACAGCGCCCTTGTCAGAAGAGACTGGACGGTGCTGTCGGTCTCACCATGGCAAGCAAGGACATGGACAGAAGGCGCCATCCACAGCCGGGAAAGAGCTTTCCCTGGGAGCAGAACCTGCCTGCACCCTGACCTTGGCCTCCAGCCTCTGGGACCGTCTGTGGGGGCTCTGTGAGGGCACCTGTGCTGACCCAGACAGCACCCAGCAGGACCCTCGGCACAGTCCCAGCCCTGGCACCCACGTGGCCAGGCAGGGTGTTGGGGGAGCGCGCCCACCCGCGTGCCCCCACTGACCTGGTTGTAGAGGGCGCAGATGTGCAGGGCTGTGTTCCCCGAGGCGTTCTGGGCCGCCATGTCCGCCCCGTAGAAGAGCAGGTGCTCCAGGTGCTGCACGTGGCCGTACCTGCAGGCCTGGAACGAGAGTCCACGCGGTCAGCGGGCAGCACACACGAGTCTCCAAGCTCCACGTGCGCTCAGCCGCTTCCCCAGAACCCACAGAGGCCGAGCCCAGCCCACCCCCGTGTCGGACCAGGCCCCATGTCAGACCACCCCCGTGTCGGACGCGCCCACAGCGTCCTGAGTCTTGGGGGGCCGCCGGGGCGGGACCGAGGACTTAGTCTGGGCTCCTGGACAGCAGGTCTGCGAAGGGCCCCCGTGCTCCTTTTGTTTGCATCTGGGGACCCAATGCTCAGGGACACACGTGTTGGCTTCCCCCTGGTCTCTGTGGCCAATCCCACCAAACGTAAACCAGGATGCTCCCTCCCTGGCCCCACTTATTGAAACTCCTCCCCCTGGGGGTGGGGCATGAAAACAGCCAGAAGGGGCGCATATGGCCTCTGCGGTGGCCAGGGAAGGGAGCCCAAGCCTGGCCTCCAGGCGAGGGCCAGGCCCCACTGGTGCTACGAAAGGTAAACCGGCCCCTCAGGAGCGCTCAGGAGGTGGGGGGCAGGCAGCCCCACAGTGAGAGGTCTCCCTCCCTGAGGCCCTCAAGGGGGTCACGTGTGCTGTTCCTGAACAGGCAGGTCTCTGGGATCAAGTAGACATCTGCACCCAAGTCATGGACCTTCCGTTTTCCAGAACGTTCCCCCGTGAGCCCATGTCTTCCATGTGTAGACAAAAACCCCACGTTAGTGTGAGAGTCACGTAGAATAAGGGACCCCAAAAGGCCCACATGATGCCCGGCACCAGGCCAGCCCCGCCGACGGCAGCTCTCCGGGAGCCAGGAGGCCCCGTGCTATGACCGCTCCAGCCGGGGTCCAGGGCACACTGTGCGGTTACCAGAGCAGCCCAGGACCCGGGACGGGCAGTCAGTTCCAAGCAGCCCCTGACCTCGGGAAAGGCCAGCATGCGGCCAGCGATGGGCAGCACTGACAGTGTGAGGGCCACGGTCCCTGGGAGTGGTGACAACGTGGATGGGAGATGGGCAGGCCAGGGAGTGGGTCCTGACCCACAGGCCGGGGCTGACCGCTGAGGCCCATGGCGGCCACTGAGGCCCACGGCAGAAAGGGAACGAGCCAGCTGGCGCAGGGCGGGCAGCTCTCACGACCACGCCTTCTGGATAACGGGGGCGGGCCGTGGCACCTCACCAAGGGAAGATGGCCGGGAAGATGCCAGAACCGTCACTATGGAGCAGGCGCACTCGATCTCGAAGCCAGTGGTTCCCCGGATACGGATGCTTTCGCCCACCGGCCCTCCCCCTCCCGTGGCAGCAGGGCCTGCACCTCCTGTGGGGCCCCCAACCCACTCTCAGAGGTCGGGGGGCTGCCCCGCCCCACTGCTTCCACAGGCACAGCCCACGGGCCTCTGCCACCGGTGGCAGGCCACAGGCTGGGGGCCCGCGGGGGTTCCCCCAAGGCCCTGAGGCTGCAACACCAGTTGGAACTGCTCACAGCTCCCTCTCTTCGAGGACAGCTGGCGGAAAACCCGCAGAGCGGCTGGAGCAGAGGAGCAGGGGCACAGGGGAGAGAAAGGGAGGTTGGGAGGACAGACACCGAGCCAAGGACCAACACACACACAGCCCATGACAGGGCTCTCCGAGCTCCAGCCATGCCTGGAGTCCTCAGGACACAAAGCCTGGGCAGAACTTTTATTTCCCCTTATACCAGATTGAGTTGAGATTTCTGTTCCTGAAATCAAAGGAGCCTGGACTCATCGGCTCTCCCCAGAAGATAGGGGCAGAAGAAACCCCCCATTTCTGCAGCAGGAAACACCAGTGGGGGGCAGGCCCACCCATGAACGGAAATGAGGAAAGGGACTTAACAGCCTCAGAGACCCCACAGAATCCCAATTACAGAAGGAAAGACAGAAGCCTGGCAGACTGCACCTGGCCAGCCCATCAGAGTGAACATCACTGGTAACAGGTGGGGGTCACCACGTGCCCCCCAACAGGATGCCAGGAATGTGATATTCCTACGTGATCACTCCAACAATATTCCTACCAAAATGCACACTCCAGACCTCATCATGAAGAAATACTGACCCAGCCCAAATTGAGAGACAATCTCCAAGCTCATTGCCCCATAGTCTTTGCAGGGGTCCCCAGTGGAAGGTTTCGGTGTAGGGTCCTGGACGGGATCCTTTCAGTATAAGGGACGTTATTGGGATGAGGGACAAAACTTGAATGTGGTCTCTGAGTGAAGGTATGTGGGGTTCTCTGGTGTTCCAGCAAATTCCTGAGTTTAAAATTGATAGAGTCCTGTACAACATAGAGAAACTAGTCCTCGTTTGACACAAAGACCTCAAAGCTCACCAAAGTAAGAAATTTGTCCAGCCCCAAGATAAGCTATGCTAACCATTTCCCCTTGAAATGGGGGCTGGGGATCCTGGCCTTCGAGAGAGACAGCTTGGAAGGGCTGCCAGAGGCCGGAGAGCCGAGACCGGACACACAGCACCCCTTATACTTCTGTCTCTTGACCATCTCGATGAGGGACTCCTGGAGACATGCATGAATGGGAGGCTCCACTCCACACCTATTGCCTGCAAATCTCCTGGGCGTACATGTTTGGAGAAATTTCCCAGTGAGACCTGGGGCTCATCCCAGCTATGCTAAACACCGGCCATCAGGAGCCAACCCCGTAATTTGGTGGAAATGAGGGAAAAGCAAACGCTTTCCTTCCAGCACGTTACTGCCACCTGCTGGACACCTGCCGGGACACACGTACTACCCTAAGGAGGCAGCAAGCTCAGAGGTGCCCCAGGTTGTGCAAGGCACTTGGGACAACGTGGAATGCACAGCACGGCAGACAGCAGCACATGCTTCTGCTTGGCTCCATGCCACCAACAAATTATTTAAACCCACACCTCGCTTGGGCAGGTCTCCTGAAGCATGCGCTGATGATGGGATCGGGAGACAACGATTTGAAAACAATACGTCGTAACAATACATCCTTTCAGCCCCTCCTGGTCGGGAAGTGAGGTGCCCAGCAGCACAGAGACACTCTCGCCCAAACACACGCACACACAGCTTGGTTGACTCGAGCCACTGGCCACCGCATGACACTGGGTTCCACGGTTTTCAAAGGCCAGTCGTGGTCTTGCTGCCCGCCCAAAGGGGAGTCAGGGAAATGTGCAAGTGAGTGTGCAGAGGACAGGTCAACTGGGAAGTGGCCAGATTTCTGCTGGCCAAGGTTGGGAGCTGCACGATGTCCTCCCAAATTCCTGTGTTGGAGCCCTGACTCCTACCCCTCCCCCAAGGATGGTGGACTGGGGTATCTGGAATGGGGGCCTTGAAAAGATGATTAACATAACATGAGGTCACCAGGGTGGCCCTGATCCAGGGTGAGCGGTGTCCTTACAGAAGAGGACATCAGGACATAGACACGCACGGGGGGGACGACCCCATGGGGACACAGGGAGAGCACGACCGTCCACACATGAGGAGAGAGGTCTCTGGAGGACCTCCCTGCCCGCCCCTGCATCTCAGACTTTAGCCTCCAGGACCAGGGGAGAGTTCTTATCTGCTGTGTGAGCCCCATGACTGTGGGATTTTGTCAAAACTGCCCAAACAGACCAATAGGATCAGTTCAGATCAACCAGATTGTACATTTCAGCCTGAAATGACACAAAAAACGTGTCATGCTACGAATTCCAAAAGGAGAGATGTCTTTGGACATCTGTGACAGCTGCCACTTACCCCACGGAGCCCACTGCTTTTATAACCTGACTTCTGGACCTACGATGTCTCCTGTAGACTTCATGGGCATTGCTGAGGTACAACACAGGCCCCAACCATGGAGAGAAGGTGGTATGACCGCCATCCCGGCCTGGGGTCTTCACCCCTCCCCTCCCCTCCCGGAGCCTCCTCTCCTCTCAGCCCCGAGAATCAGGGCTGCTCAGAAAGACGATGGCTCGGTGGGCCTCAATCCCGCCGCAGGCCCGGGCAAAAGGATGCACTGATTACCTCCCTGAAGGACTCCTGGCTCATCTGGGCGGGGCAGGGGCAGGGGCATGGGGTACGGATCCGCCGCCCCAGGTCAGTATGGAGTGGGAGCCGGAGGCAGGTGTGCCGGCAAGCTCTGACCCCTCCACCTGGCGGCTGGGGGACCCCAGACTCTCCGACCCGGGGGAGGGGGGCTCATCTGTAAAGATGCGGTAACCGTGGCTTCTGCATCCGGGGACAGGCTCAGCCAAGGTTCTGCGGTTCCCACGCCGATGGCCGCAGACTGTGCTGTGCTGCGTCCAAGCACCATAGGCATGCTGGCCCCAGGCGCACATGTGACGGCCCCACCCCACGAGGCCAGCAACACCATCATTCTTGACCTGAGACAGCACGAGCCTCTCGTGGCAGCCAGGCCTCAATGCTTCACTCTGCATGAAGCCTCCCCTGCTCTGGTTAGAACTGCCCCTCCCTGAGGAGGCTCCCCCTTCACACCTGTGCTCACGGGAGTCCCAGGCTCCCCTGGACAGGGTGCGCATCTCGGGGCACTGGGGAGACCCTGACTTTGAGCCCAGGGTCCATGCCATCTAAAAGCTAACACCTGCAGCCAACCGTGTTCAGGAGCATGTATGACATGTGGGCTCCCTGCTCAGCGGGGAGTCTGCTTCTCCCTCTACCCCTCAACCCTGCTCATGATCTCACGCTCTCAAATAAATAAACCAAACCTTTAAAAGAACAAAAAAAGGAATTCTTGAGGAAATTAGATGAGACCTATAGGAAGGTCTGTGAGCAAAGTGAAGGGCTGTCACGTGTCATTTCTGTGACGATGACAGCCACGACTAAGTAGACGGGGACTAAGACAGTGATTGGGGCACAGCTGGGCGAGGATGACTGTGACCGGGGCGTGGCCAGGAGAGGAGGGGGCAGAGGTGTGGCCAGGCGAGGGGGAGGGCGGCAGGGGCATGGCTAAGTCACAGGCCAAGAACACTGGACTGACAACAGGAGGGGGGAACACCCCCTCCCCGAAACACAGTCAGAGGAGTTCAGAGAGGGAGGGAAGGAGGGATCGAGGTGCCCCAGAGCTGGTCACACAGCACGACCTGCATGAGGGCGCGTGGGACCCCAGGGCAGTTCCTCCACAGAGCAGCTGTCCCCAGACTGCGGGCAGCCACCCTCTCCAGAGCGCTCAGCCTCCCATAACCGAACACAGCCAAACCCGCAGGCACGCAGGGTGCACGCAGGCCGCATAGGAGAGCATGAGCCATCCTCCCCTTCCCCTGATGTTCTCGGGTTGTGGGACTGTGTCTGGGTGTTTGTCACTTTCTCCTGTTTCCTCAAATTTCCCACTGCGGCCGAGCTGAGTAGTTAGGGTCACAGTCCGTGGGGAGCTGCCTACAAAAACACGCGCTTCCAGAGTCGGCCTGCAGGGGCGGGTGTCCCCAGGCGCTGCGCGGCAGGTGCGGGATCAGGACAGCCTCCCGGCACCCCGTACCTGGCCTGGCCTCGGCGGGGAAGCGGACAAAACCACCTCCAGACCGTGAGCAGGCCTGGCTGCGGGTGCACAGGACTCCTCCAAGGGCGCGGAGCCAGGCGGTTGGGACGGAGCCGTGCCCATGCCAGGGCGTGAGGCTGAGGGACAGACCTGAGGCGGAGAACCACACACCCCAGAGCTCCACGGTGCTTCTCCCGCTCGCTCTGGCAAAACCTGCCTGTTTCCTCCCCCTGCAACGTGTGTCCCATCGGGGGCGGCTTCCGCTCACAAGCTGGGAGGCGGTGGTGAGGGCGGGGTGGGGGTGGACTCCGCTGCGGCCTTGGGCAGATTACCCCGCCCCCCGCCCCCGCTCTGGGCCCATCACCTGGTCTGAGTCCCGGCGGCCCACAGGTGTCCGCTGCGGAGGCTCCAGGTGTGAAAGATGGGGCCAATAAGGCCGATCAGGACAGCAGGGACTGACTGGGTGTCGAGAATCTCGGAGGAGGACGGTCTAGTCTGCTGACCTCTGCATAGCGCCCACCTCCACCACCTCACAGCCAGTCTCGGCCACAGCAGACCAGGCAGCGGGGCTGGGGGGGTGGGGGCAGGGACCACCCAGATAATCGAGACCCTCTGGTAGGGAGGGAACCGGCCTCCCAGGACGTGGTGGAAAAGAAACCACCGGGGGGCAGGGCATGACCCCGATGGGCGCAACGGTTAGAGGATGCTCAGCCCTAGGAACCCCCCCCCCACCATGGCCTCCAAGCTGAAACTCAGCACCAGGGGGCTGGGGCCCCGGGATCAAGAGGTCTGGTGGCCTCAGTGCCCACATGCTCAGAAGCCGTGCTCGGGGTCTCAGGCATGGAACCGGCTCACGCGGGGACCAGAAATCACGGCTGGAGCCCACATCGTGGGCGGTGACCACCAGGAACCCCCCAACCCCCAGCACACCAATGCTTCATCTCACGGCAGCCAGGGGCCAGACCATCGCAGGCACCAGACAGGAAAGGGACTCTGGCGGGCGGCCTCCGCTGGTGGAGGGTGGGAGGAGGGCGAACCAAGCTCGGAGAACTCTCCAAAGCTGGGCCCTGACGCCGGGTTAAATCTCTAGCAAGCCCGCGTTCCTATCTTCCGTATTTCTGACACCCTGGCGTCTGGGGCCTTGCCGACGCCTGGACTTCTGCCCCTCCCCGGGCAAGTCACTTCCGACAGCACAGGACTGGCCCAGAGGACAACTCTCAGATGCAAACCAGCTCACAAAGAGCCCTCACCCCTGCCTGCCTTCCCGGGCTCTCGCTCTCCGGCCGTGACCCACCTGCCCTGGCCAGCCCAGGGACAGCCCCGGAGCCCCAGTGTCCCTGACATTATCCAAACTAGCCACACATCAGCCGGTCCCATCCCACAAAAATCACGGGGAAGGCTCTTGGCCCCATTCCCCCCAGGGTCTGCTGCCTCCCGACCCAGCCGGGGGCGTCCCCCATGGCCCGTGTGTCCACCTCCCAGGATCTGTAACATACCCTCTTTCCAGCGGCTGCCGCCTCCACTGTCCCTGCATTGTATTAAAACTACATTTTAAAACAAGGTTTGGGACAGGCCAGGAAACGACCCTGGAAGGACCCGGAAGCACACGGAGGTGCGGCCGCGGGAGACAGAGTGAGAAGGAAGGACGCGCAGAGGCGTCTCAGCCCTGCACTTACAGGAGGGCCTTCCCAGGGCCCGAGGGCGCCGCAGGCCCAGACACCCACTCCAGGGGGAACGAATGGGGACCCCCCAGGGCACTGGTCGCTCCTCACTCCTCCGAGGGTCCCACCGTGGCTGTGGGCTGGGCGCCGCCAGGAGCTCACCCAGCAGGGCGGAAGCGGTCGCCCCTCCAGGCCGCAGGGCTGCTGACGGGTCAGGGCGGACCCAGCACGCAGAAGGCCAAGCGGGGAGGGCCTGCCTGCACCCCACGACCGCCTGCGACCCCTCCGCGCGGCTGCGCCCGCCGACCACAACAGGTGGGGGACGCCCCCTCCCAGACCGGGTGAGCGCGGGAGGCCACAGTGGCCGAGGGAAGTGGACCGGCGGCCGGAGAGCCGGGAGTGTCACTGCCCACCCGGAGAACAGTTCAGAGCCTCCGCCTGCCTGCTCCAGCCCTTTCCCCCTCGCCTTCTGGGACCCACACCCCAGTCTGCTCGCCCGCCCTCCCGCCACCCTCCTCTGCCCGGAGACCCTGACCCGGCCTCCCGCGCCACCGGGCTCCCTGGTTGGCTGGCTCACACACGGCTCAGCCAATAGGACGGCAGGACAGGAGAGAGGCGGGGCACTTCCTGCCCGCGGCCCCGCCCACCGCAGCTGTGCCTGCTTCTGGGACCACAACAGCCTCCCCTGCTGGGGGTGCATTAAGGACGCTTCACCTGAGCCCGCAGGTGGGTCCTTTCTTTAAAGGGCAGCAGCTGACACTCCCCCGACCCCACCGGTACCAGGTGGGATCAGGGAAACCTGTGTCCTGTGCGTGGAAATTGGGCACCACACTGATACCACTGGTTTCAGAAATCGGGCACACAGCTGGTCACCTGTGCTCAGAAGGCAGGCATCACCCCGGTCACCTGTGTGCACAAAGCACCCAAGCTCTGCTGGCCCCGGAGATGCTGGACGCGCAGTGAGCGCCCAGGTCCCACGAAGGGCACACCCACCCCACAACTCCAGATGATTACTACCCTACAGAAATGCAACAGGATGCCTGACTTTTCAATGTCTTCATAAGGTCAGAAACGTGTACTTCTAGGTAAATATCCCTGCTTTTAAATGCTGGCGATGAATCCCAGTGTTTCAGAAGCCGCGTGGCCAAACAGAAGGCTGGACCGGCGGGTGTGGGCTGCGGGGAAGGGTTAAGGGAGGCGTGCATCGGCTGCGTGCGCACCTGGTGGATCTCGTGCCAGCCGTTCTCGTCCCTGCAGCACACGGCGGCGTGCTCGTGGAGCAGCAGCTCGCAGCAGTAGGGGTCCCCGCCCACGATCGCGGTGTGGTACAGCGGTGTGAGGCCGTAGCTGTCTTTGTAATCGGGGGATGCTCCCAGCTCCAAAAGGGTCTGGAAAACAAGAGCGCTGGACATGGGTCTCATGACCCCTTTTGCAAAGTGCATCAAGAATGAAGCGTGGGGGTTGGGGTCACACTCCTGCAGGCGGAGGCTGATTAGGCCCTTGCTGCCGCAGGTTTCCTGGGCCTCCTGGAGTGAGGCAGATGCCAGCATCCGGTGGTGAGGTTTCTGGCTCTGAAGAAGGACATGGCGCCTAGGCAAGCGGGATGCGCGTGCATTGGGGGGGTCAGGAGATGGGTCTGCAGACATGTGCTGGGGCACATGGGGACCTGCTGTGCCTTGCTGACCCCCACGTACTGGTGGAGAGCTACAAAGGCAGGGCGGCATTTGCAGCAAAGGGAAAAGGGGTACTACCCAACCTGAAAACAGCATAAAACCATCTCAGCGTGCATCCTGAGGGAAGCACAACGGGAACGCTGTCACCAACACTGGATTTTGGACGGAACCAGCGGACAACGGGCAGCTGATGGGAACTCGAGAAATCCAAGACTTCTGAGAGCAGCATTGCCTGGGGGATCAGCCCCCAACAGCAGGTTCCCCTCCCTCCCTGCCAGGGCTCTTGGGGGCCCCCCACACGTGGGGCCAGGACAGGTAAAGTATGCAGATGGGTCATGGGGAGGATGAGGGGTGAAAGCACGCCCCGATGGGCTTCCAGAGACCCGACGAGGGGCATGCTGGCGGCAGCGAGGCTGGCTCTGGGTTTGCAGCCTCCTCCCGGGGAAGTGGGGGAGTGCCTTTCAGCACTGCCCTTCCTGGCCCCAAACACAAGCCTCTGACCGAGCCAGATGGACAGACGACCTTTTATAAACATCAAATTCAAGATTCCCCAGAAGACAGGGTCGGGGGCCCCCCCTGGATGTCCAAACCCCAGTGGGAACACAATTCAGGGTCAGCTTGGGTAGCCATCGTGGGACGGGGACAGGGAACAGGCACGGATGCCGGGGATTGGACAGGGAGCCCCCCCGGGGGGGCCCCCCCCCCCCCCCCCCCCCCAGTGAACAGGCTGCGGAATGTACCTTCAGGGCTACTTGGTTCCTGGTTCGGGCGGCCTTGTGCAGGGCGGTCATCCCATCTCTGGCGCGGAAGTCCAGGTGGGCGCCGCCGTTTCTGAGAGCTTTGATCACCTCCGCAGGCTCGTCCAGCTGAGCGGCTAAGGTCAGCGGAGTCTCTGTGGGACCCAAACACATGCAAGATCAGGATGTGCACCAGGGGAGATGGCCAAGGCACACAGCTCACGACGAGGTCAAGTGCAAAGTCTGAGTGACATTGAAGAACCAACGCCAGTATCCACGCGGGTAGCATGGCCTCAACGTGGTGACCCTCAGGGTCACGTGCAAATCAAAATGGGGGCAGAGACTGAGTTTCCACATTATTGCTTTGTTGGCAGTGGGTCTGGTAAACTGTCCTCGTTGCCCTCATCCCAAAGACACAGAATCCCACAACGCCATCCATAGGCTTCCCGGCGGGAACAGTGACCACTAGGGCTGCAGTTAAAGGCCTGAAAGGCAGATGCCCGCCTTTCCGTATCTCAGTGTCACAACGTTTACTGGGCATCTTGGAGGACGGCCAGACTTAGGCTGCAGGCACACGGAATAAGGGAGGCGTGGAGTCTATGCCCCATGGAGGTTGGGGTCTGGGTGGGTGGACCTGAATGGGGTCAGCACAATAAATGACCAGCAGAGGGCTGGGCCAGAAGCCCTGGAGACAGAATGATGGGGCCCGCCCCCATGGGGACAAGGTTACAAGTTACAAAGGGTCCCCCGCCACCCTGGGCAGCCGACTCAGAACCAGTCTGTCGCTGGCCATGATGGGGACGGCGATATTGGGTTAAACCACCTTCTCTTCTGCTCATTCTCCCTACCATCGCCACTGCCAAGCAAGGCACATGGCCCGGACGTGCTCAATCGGAGAGGCTTTTACCTACTAGAAGAGTGCCGTGAGCGCCAGGACAACGTGCATGTCCCCAGGACCCAGAGACACTCCTGGCTGATGATGAGTCATTCTGACTTTAAGCGCATTTAGAGAATAGAAGAACTGGGGCATCTGATCTGGGGTTGAATTCCCTTGTGACCTCACCTCGGTCATGTCCCCGGCTGTCCCCAGGAAGGGCAGCCGCATCCTGAGTTCAACTCTGCCACCCCCGTCTTGCCCTAATCCCCAGCCGTATTTACCCACGAATGAGCACTGTTCTGAGGGCTCTCTAAACTCGTCAGGGGAATCACCCCGCACTGAAGGTGTCACAAGGGGTGCGGGGGTGTCGGGGGTTGAGACGGTGTGCAGCAGGGCGGGAGCCCCACGTGGGGCAGACGTGCAGAGAGATGCAAACTCAGTGAGAGACCCCAGCCCAGTAGAGGGGGGAAAAAGGGAGCTGCCCGGGCTTCACTGCCTCAGGCCCAGCGGCATCCTGGACACAGGTGTGGGACGGCATCGGCGTGGGCTCGGTCCCTTGGGGGGCAGCGGAAGTGCGTGGAAGGCCCCGTCCTCTGGAGCCACCAGCATGTCCACCTCAAAGTCAAATTTCTTACAGCGACTTGGGGAAGCTGGTCCCTCAGCATGAGGTCAGTTTAGGCCTGATGCACATGTGGGGCGGTCAGCCCTCAAAACTATTAGGATTCTTTATTTTGCTGTCTATCCACGGTCAATGCAAGTGGGACCCAGGCTGCAGTCCTACCTCTGGCTCCAGACCACAGACCCCTTCGGCAGAGCCAGGCCCTGGGACGGTGCTGGGCACCTAAGAGCCGCTGAATAGGGAACTAGGCACCCTGTTAATGGTAGGAGATCTTGCATACTTGAGGGGACCTCCAGCCCTTGGACGATACCCATGACAAGAGGTAACTTCCTCCAACAGCCCTGCCTGAATGACGCACTGCAGACTAGCCACGTTCAAACCTGACCAGGACCCACCCCGGCGAGGCCGGGAGAGCCCCCCAGCTGACACCCCAGCAAGGTCAAGAGAGCCCCCAGCTGGCACACGCTTTGGGAAGGGCGTCCAGTGAGACCTGGTATGGTGCTGACGGACCCACCCCCACAAGACGCCATCCCACCTGCCAATGTGTGGCCATCAGGGGCTTGCATGGTCTGCGTGACTGACGGCCACGTGCCCGCGCCACCTGCACCACAGTTCCCTGAAAATGTTCCACTTTGAAGTTACATCAGTTACAGTAAATGCACTAGAACCTCAACAAGGCCCCCGTGTCTCTCAATGGCACCACCCAATGGGGCAGAAACTGCTCTCCTCTTCCCAGTCGTGAATACCTACTACCTCTTGCCTAGACTGGCCTGGCTGCCTCTAGAGGCACCAGCAGGAGGGTCTGCAGGGGTGAGAGGTGCGAGGAAGCTGAAGGCACAGTGTAAAGGCGCCAGTGGCTGGCTTCCAACCTTCCAGACTCGGAGGCAAGGTGGGGGGTGGGGGGGCCGTGCACTGCAGGCTGCAGTGTGCACCCCGGACCCAGGGGTGCTTCTGGGAGCATCAAAGTGCCAGACAAAGACCTCGGAAGCCAAGCGTATGGGTGAGCAGCTCCTCCTGGAGGAACAGGGCCCAGTGGCAGCAAAACCCAGCTCCGCTCCGGGAAGGCTGGATGGCCTGAGCAGGTGTCCCAGACCCTCTGGGTGTCTCCTCCCCTGCAACGCAAGGGTAAAAGGCTGACCCCCACCTCATGGGGACCTGTGAGGCTGGAATGCGTGTGTCACCCACTGGATGGTGCCCACCCCCAGGTGTGCCCTCCGAGACCGCCAGCCGGAGCAGTTCGTCTCGCGAAGACACACAAATCTTGCTCTGTTACGGCTTTTTCCCCGTATTTTTCCAAGCCTGTGCAAGGACTTCATGATTTTACGTAACGAAAACGGTAATTTCTCAAATGAACCGTGAAGCCAATGCTTGGCAGCATTCCCACCCCACCATGGCCTGGTCACAGTCGCATGTGACTTTCTCAGCAAGGGACAGTCCCAATGCTCCCAGAACATGGAGCAGAGGAAACAAACATTCCCACACCTACTCAGTGCTGTGTGGCCGCCCCAGGAGGACAGTGAGTACAGTATCCCCGAGCTTCTGTAAGATGGGCGAATAAATAGGTAAGAGATCGCTGGATGAGGGGCTGGGTAGATACTTGGATAAGCAGATGGACGGACAGACGGTCAGATGAGTGCACGGACTCATGGGTGGGTGGGTGGGTGGATGGATGGATGGATGGATGGGATGGGCAGGTAGATGGACGGATGGATGGACAGACAGAGGAACAGATGGGTGGGTGGATAGATGGGTAGATGGACAGGTTGTTGGATAACTGGGTGGATGGATGAGTGGGTGGGTAGATATAGGGAAGGAGAGAGGGAGGGAGAAAGGGAGAGGAAGAGATGGGTGAGTGAACAAAGATGGGCAGGAGGGATGTACATGAGGTCCTACATATGCACAGGCAGTTAAAAAAGAGTAAATCAGAAGATTAGTACTTGGGCTCACAAGCGACAGAGGGCGTACAATTTGTGCATTCAATTATCTTAGTGTTGCTTTCTAATATAAAACTCATTATTAAATTACCTACAGTTGAGAGATCACACACCCCCTTCCCTATGCCTGCATGCCTCCTGCAGAATGTCCCAAGCAGGAAACACCAGGCTTTGCATCTGGACCCTTTGTGCTCCAGGCTGGACTCAGCTGTGACGTGGCTGGACACCTCGAACCCCACAGGGCCTGGATCCCCTTCTACGCTGCAGAGACCACCCTGTCCCGCCCACAGTGCATGGCAACAGGGAGTCACAGCTTGGAAAGTGCTTCATAATGAAAAAGCTCGCAGCAGCTCGAAGAAAACAGATCTACAGAAACAGCCCAGGTAGGACTCGCTGCACCTGCTTGACACGGAGACAGACGCCCCACAAGACGTAAGAGGCACAACGTCCCGGTGGAGTCTGGCTTCTGCCTTCACTCACATTCATCCTCCCTTTCCTAAAGCGACCGGTTTTAGGAAAACGCATCTCTCTAAAACAGGACACGCCCCTTCTGTGTCAGACAGACGTTTTGCCATCCAAAATGCAACCCTGGGGACAATGACCAGGAAACACTCCTGACCAGGATTTTTCAGAAAAAGCCGTGTGCAGCTGTGTTTGCTAACCCTCTAGGGGAGAAGCGGCCTCCCGCTGGAATGTTCCAAAAGTCCACACAAGGGCGATGTCTCCTTTTCAGGGGACACCCGAGAAGTGGAAGCAAAGCCAGAGAAGTGGGGCTACGCACCTGCCTATCCTCGGCCCCTCTCTCCTCTGGGTCAGCAGAAATCTGACATGTCCCCAGATGTCACAGCCTTGATGGCAAGAAGGCTTCCTACAGCACCGATGTGGGCTCATCTCCATCTCTGTGACAAATCCAGGGGCCTGAGGCCACACCTCAAAGTTCCCAAGAACCAGAGAGGAGACTGAGGGATTCCATCCTCGTTAGCTGGACCTGTGGTTCTCAGACATGGGCAGGAATTAAGAACCCTCCAAAGAGCTTGTTAATACAAAGAATGTGGACCTGCACCTCTGATGGGCCGGTGATCCCAGGACATGCTCGGTGGGAGAACGCGGGTTCGCAAACCTGACTGCAGTGACTCCAGCTAGTCCCACACCCAGATACTGCTTTAATTGGTGCGGCTGTGAGCCCAATAGATTAGGACTGGTAAAACCTCCTTGCGTGGTTTTCAACATGGGAACCACTGCTCTGAACACCTGGGAAATCCAGTGAGTTCCATGGACACAGCCCAGGAGCTGGTTAGACATGCAAAATCTCAGGGCGCCTGGCGGGGGCTCAATCGGTGAAGTGTCTGCCTTGGGCTCAGGTCATGATCCTAGGGTCCTGGGATCGAGTCCCACATCGGGCTCCTTGCTCAGCGGGGAGTCTGCTTCTCCCTCTGCCCCCCGACTTGTGTGCTCTCTCTCCCTCTCATGCTCTCAAATAAATAAAATCTTAAAAAAAAAAAAAGAAGGATGCCTGGGTGGCTCAGCCTCTGCCTTTGGGTTGGGTCATGATCCCAAGGTCATGGGATCGAGTCCTGCATTGGTCTCCTCGCTCGACGGGGCACCTGCTTCTCTCTCTCTTCCTCTGCCTGCCTCTCTGCCTGCTTGTGCTCTCTCCCTCTGTGTCAAATAAATAAATAAAATCTTTAAAAAAAAAAAAAAAGAAAAAGAAATGTAAAATCTCAT